AGTGTTTCCCGACGTTCAGCAGCAGCCCATTCACTCGCCACCACTTGTCTATTTTCTCCACTACTCTGAAATAGTCAAACAGTTCTTCCCGATTCACTCCCAATGCCTGCACATCAGTGCTTTTCAGACCCAAACTGGGGAAAAGCTGACCTGACATGCTATTGTGTAAATGGAAAGCAGCAGAGGCGAGGGAACTGATCCTGGAGAGGTGATGAGTTGTCCGCTCAAATATCCTCGAGCGATCCCTTGGCAGTGCAAAAGAAAACTGCGATCGGTCTGAAAGGTTCGCCTCAAGACAACTCCACACGTACTGGTGGCAGTCGGATACTCAGGATGGTCAGAAGTCGAGGAAGGCGCAACGCCCGATCCGCTTTCCTTTATTCAGCTGCTGCACTACCTGATGAATAAGCACAGCTAAGGCATCGGTGCTGTTTCTACGTTGTCGAAAGCCGAAACGGACTGGTTCCTGTCGGGATTGCTATGACGCCAGAATCGAAGGCATCAGTGACCATTCGAAACTCTTGTCAGCTGCAAATGACGGTCACTGGACGAAGGCCCGCCCGCCAGCTCCGGAGCACCCGCTTTCTTTGGGATGGGCGTCACACGGGAAATTAGACAATTTGTCGACAGCTGCTCCTAGCTCAGGTAGACGTTGAAAATATCAGTGAGCATTGATCTCACTTATACTGCATGGCGTTCTAGCACTGCGGGTGAAACTCCATCCTGGCCTTCGGTAGCTGACGATTTTGAGTTCTTCAGGCAACGGATGACTTCCACAGCCTCAGAGATGGGAATGTTGTCTTGTTGGTAGAGGAAGTTATCAAAGCCTATCAGATGCGACGTAGGCTGGCGCTGTTCTTCGCATCAGAGGAAACATGCATTAAGCATGTCAGCGTTTAATCCTGGCCAGATGCTTCGTTGCTGATATTCACTCATCTCTTTCAGTTCTCCTCACAGCTCTCATGACCTGTTGAAGTCAAATTAGAGAAGCGGCATTAAGTTTAACCGGCAAACCTCAGTTCGGACTGATACCCAGAGCCCTACATGCTGCTCTGTTCTTCCTGCCGTTGGCCTGCTCCTTTCTTCTCCTAAGCAGCCTCAGATCTTCTGAGAAGTGCTACCGACCGGTAAAGAAGGAATTCTCCTCCTTTGGACAGCAAACCTCCATCACGTAGGATTCCGTAGGAGGCCACTGCATTCGTTTCGAAGTTGATGTCTGAGCCGTCAGAACGGACCATCAGCAATTTCGAATTATTTCGAATTCGAGGCGGATGCACGAGGCCGCCTCTTCAGAGAGGATTCTTAGTCGTCGCGAGGAACGCTGGGAATTTATGAATGCCGCCTAGCCTCAACTTTCAAACAGGCATGGCACTACATTACGCTGACGATGCGATGGTCAGTAGAGCTGGGGGGAACGCGCCGTCGAAGCCGGTGGATGTTCAGACGATTCACGAAGAAATGGCCTAAAGTAGTGTCCCTCCATTTTGAAAAAGAGACAGTCGACGAAACCAAGATCCCAGAGAAAGGTCGGCGATTGAGATCTCCGGCGACAGTTGTCAAACAATTTTCACCCTAATACGCGTACAGGGTGGTCAAGGTGCAAAATGGTCGAATGCAGTAGGTGCGAATATCACGAGTAATGCACAAGTAACTGAGAAGCAATTGTTTGAATAGAGTCAAGGATCTTGAGCGGCACCAGGATGTCAATCATTCGCTGCCATCCAAAGAGTATACGAACATTTCTGATGGATGAACTCACCAATCCTTGCGTACCCAGATGTTAAAACTGTTTACGTGTGTTTTGTGATAGGATGTTCTGTGGCGAATGACCATCATTCCATTATTCATACCGGAGCTCAACCACGACTGTTGGCACAGGATAAATGCCGTACACTGCAGGCCATTTCCATGTATCAACCAGATAAGCTAATGATTGCTTTCGCTGCTCTCGACCGTCTGTTGGTCGAGATGAACATTGAAAAAGCCAGCGTGCTACACGCCTGCCCTTCGGCACTGACCTGCAACCTCCTCATGAACCTCATTTGCGCATGCGGCCACGCGAAATGTCCAGTTTTTTGCAATCGATTCACGACGCCGTTCGGAAGACGGAGTTCTGTGCAGCGTTTCCAAACTACCAGCATTTCTACCTCAGAATACGAAAGGCGGCTGAAAGAAATATCGACGGATACCTCAGGCATCATCTCTGGGACAGAACACAAAATGACGCGTTTTGGAACGAAGCGGTTCAGCATTAGTGTATGTTACTATTTCAGCGGTCGTCAGACCCCTGCTTGAGGTCTTTCCGTGCATCACTGGTTGAAGTGTAGAAGCGTTGATCGAACGAAGCTTGCAGACTCAGTGGCAAGATCATTGCCGGATTCATGAACAACCATTAGACGTAGTCACATATTGCTGTAGCGAAGTCACCATAGGAAACATTGTCAGGTCTGCCCATAGAGGACGAAAGATTTTCACACATCCCCCAGTTCACTTCCATTACTAATTGACAGGAAATGAGACATTTCAACTATTGAGCACATGTCTAATTGCTGTCGAAAATTCTGGACCCTTCTGGTTAGCTGAAACTAGGCTGTGCCGACCTTGTTTATTGAATATCTCCTGGTTAATGTGTTATTATGGTGGTCGAAGTGCTGAACACGATGAACGCCTCAATCGCCGGAACGATAATGCAGCAGACCCGGCAATAAATTAAGGGAATAGGTTTAATTTAGAAGAATTAATTCTGCCAGTGCGTTTGATGCACCCGCTATTTTCGTTTTCCTCCGTGTTCATATATCGCCGGTATAACCTCGAGGCAGCCGGCGGCAGTCTGTCCGCCTGCGGCAGCAGTGTATGCCGGGGTATAATGGATTTTGAGTTCCACCTCCGCCCCAGCGATTCTCCTAAACGAAGATGTTGATCGCATAGCGGTTTCCATTTTGTTTAATGACGTACGGCGTCGTGAGTCCCCTAATGGTGAAGGGGTGTCGTGGTCGCTGCACACTCGTCTATGATCGATTGATTGACCCGTCATGGATCGAATTAGGTTAGGATTATAGCGCAGATCAGAAGGCGATTATGCAAGCCGCGTCATCGAACTATTTTCACCCGAATTGATATTTGTTTATTCTCAGAAATGGCTCCATGCCAATAACTCGGTATTGCCTCCAAACCTCATCTCTTGCAGAAGTCAGAGCAATGATGAGCAGCCGAAAATGACGTTCCATTTTCGTAATGTAACGCTGCCGAAAGATCTGAAAGAGCGGCGAGGTCCTGCTGAAGCGGAAGAAGTCAATTAGCAATCGGCTGTCCGAGAAGAATGACCGTTAAGCATGCCTCACAGCTGGACACTTTCTACCTCTTCGTCGCCTTGCCGCCGCTGAGCTCGCTAATGCGAACCAAAAGAAAAGCAAAACAATCGGGATTTATTTCAGGAAGGTCTAGCACAAATGTCGTGCTTGTCTCAGTTATGCAGAGAGCTATCACAATATCTACGAGGGAGTTTTGTATGCCTTGAACGAACTGGACTCACTTAGCCTACAGTCTCTGTGATAAACGGAAAAACTACTACATCTATCGAGTCCCGCCTCACGGACACGGCCGCCAAGGTTCCTACTAGAAATCGCTTGTCGGTCCAGAATTTAGTCCTAGCTCTCTTCATGTCCCTTAAGCGATCAATTGCATTCCACAACGGTGGCATACAGCGTTTGAAGACCAACCGCTGAAAATGAACCGTCGTTCACAATTACAGGCACAATGATCGTTTGATTGACTGGTTGATTCGGTCTAGGACGACGACTACGCATTCACGGACTCTGACTCAGGCTCAACGGCTGTCATGCTACAAACCCGCCTGAGACCTTTAGCAACTGTTCAACTTCTTCCTTAAAAGGTACCTAACCGTTTGCCCTCTGGACAGAGGATTGCTCAGGAATTCGGTTTCATCCTCATTCTTATAAATGTTGTGTAGACGGTGAGACAGAAACCTACATCCACAGTGTGGAGTCTGGCGCCTTTGCGATTGTCTTAGTTCAAGTAGGATGGCTTAAATTTCCTCGCTTGTTTCACAGCGTTTTCGTAATGCTGATTCATGCTATGTGACGATTGTTTTAGAATACGGTGCTGAACCGGAAGGAATATGTTCAATACTGCTCAAAACCTTGTCGTACATCTTGATCGCGCTCACGTTTCCTTTCTCACTGGTGTTTTGCCTGAAGGTGAGAAGGTTTCTTGTTGTTTCTGAGTCGTGGCCCAAGCGCCTTTACTTTTAGATGGTGCAGGAGTACGAACGCGCAGTCATCTTTCGGTTAGGACGTGTGCTGTACGGTGGCGCTAGAGGACCTGGTAAGTGAAACGCGTTTTTAGCAGAGGTAGTCGGCACGTGACTCCTTCGTGACACCACTGAGTTAGACATCGTCGAACGGTTATCGAGAAAGTTGCTAATCAGCCTTGACGTCGGCATCCATTTGTCAGCTAGTCCAACAAAGTCGGCCTGCCTGGGATTTATGCCTCATGGGAGACCTGTTCAGATTCGCGCAGCTTCCTTTGATCTTAGCAGCCTTTAAGCCGCTCCCTCGCCGCTCCGTTTACTCGTCAGAGGAAAATTGATCGCTTCTTTCGATCGATCCCATGTTGTCATGCTCCCTGATTTTTCCGTCTTCCACTGCTCTCTTGTTTTTCACTTTTTACTTCGACTGTTTACACACCGAGTTCTTGCACTAATGCGGTAGTGCCACACGTTTGATTTTCCTGTTTGTGCAACTCGCTTGATCGTTTCAGGAGTTATACATCACTTTTGCCTAATTTTTTGGACGGTCGTTCTTGCGTTCAGTTCCTCCTCGTATTAGTCAAAGCTTCGTAGCCTAGTTGGCTGAGCATTAGACGTACAATCAGCGGATTTCAGTTCAAAATTTTTCAGAGTCATTAGCCTTTCATTTTTTGAGTCAGCTAAACGAACATTGATAAATGTGTAAGGGCAACTATAGTATGAAGATATCTTGGAATACGGGGTTAATTTCTTTATACATGGCTTTCGATCAAGGTATATCGGTGGATATTCAAACATGTTTTTGTCCGACTCAATACAGGCAGGGGGGCTGCTTTGCACCCTTGTTGCAGGAGCTATAATATCACAGAGCCGTGTCCTTTTAAAATCTCTTAGGCCGCCTGAAGCAAAGGGCCCGTCCATAGCACGCGACTACAGAGAATTGACAGGAGATTCTTATTCTTACAGTATGGCATTGTTTATTTGCTTAAGTTATCCACAGTTGAAATTGTCAAGCTGCGCAGAGGCAATGCAAGAAGTACTAAGAAAGGGTATTCAGATGCGTACAGTGGCATAACGTAGTGTGCAGCAGATGTGCGGCAGAGCAAGAACACAACACGAAAAAATGAGAAGTCAATCTCTCGAAAAGCCAGCTTCCTCTTAGGCATCTGACGATGAACTGCAGCATGGATTTTCCGTGAGTTACTGTTTGACTCAAGACTGTGCCTGAAATCGTTCCTCGTTTTTTCTGACGACGAGCTGCAACTAGCCAGATAATGAAAGAATGGATTCCGGATGAATGAAAGCATTGTATCATGTGTTTTGCGAGAAAAAACTTCTAAATTTGCTTTGTTACATTTTTTTACAGTCAGTTCATAGCTAAGTGCAACGGAACTGCGTTCAGCGTTGCCGCAAATGACATGTATCATAGAAATATGAAGGAAACCGACAACTCATTAGTATTAATCTCTCTCTTATGTTTTTTCTGTCCTTCGGCCTCCAGTTATCTTCATTTTGGTCTCATCCTTGCTTAAATCTTCCTTTTTCTTCTTCGCCTTTTCCTTATCCTCTTCCCTATTTTTGTTTCTTGTATTTTTATTGTGCTCATTTCCATTTTCCTTCATTTACTCCTGTCTTCACCTTTACCTCTTTTCCAATATCCTTCTTTAGTTAATTTGTTTACTTCATCTTTCTTCATTTTTTAGTTTCTTTTCCTTTCCTCATCCATCTCTTCTTTTTTCCATTCTTTCTTTACTCTTCCATATTTCTTAACCCGTTCTTTACTCGTTGCCTTTGTGTTTCCGTTTTCGTGTTTTATGCTCCCTCTTATTTTAACTCTGCTTTTCTTGTTTTACTTCTTTTCCCTGTTCTGCTGTCTTCTCATGTTTTGGTTTTCACATACTTTTCCTTTTTTCTACCTTCATTTTCTTCCATCTCCTTTTTCTTGTCCGTTCCTTTTATTTTGCTTTAATCTTCTCAGTATTTTCTCTTCTCACTTCCTCTATTATTATATACTCTTTCGCCTTTCTTCTATCTCTTCTTTCTTATGCTCATCGCTCTCCTATCTTTTATTTCCTTTCCCTCTGCTCTTTCTTTCTCCCTTCCTGCTTCTTTTGATTCCTTTCCATCATCTTTTTCGCCGTCATCCCTTGCTTCTTGTTCTTCATTTTTCTTGCATGCATTCTTACCCATATCATTTTCCTTTTCTTCTGTTTTCTTATCGTTCACTCTAGTTTCAGTGAATTTGATGAAGCTTTTCAGGACCTAGTTTCGTCGTATATACTATTATTTGCTTCTGAGAGCTGGTGCGCAACCGTGGTGGTCAGTTGTTCATGATCTGCAGTAGCCCTACTTTACTCGAACTAAGATTTCTTGTGAATGAATCAAAACTTCTCTTGATTCATACGGCATAGTCCCATCGTACCCCTGTTTCTAGTCGCCTAACCTGTGGGCAGGCCACAACACCACCGTATTTTAGCACCTGCAGTACATGAGCACAAAATAGCACAATTTGTTGGGTAGAACAGCAGTGGCAACGTGGTGTTGTGACGTGATCATACAGGGATGGGCGAGAGACACGGTCATTCTGTCTGATGGGAGCATTTAATGTGGCTGCCATTATCCTTAATCCGCCTGTTAGTTGCTTAGTGAATCTGTTAATCCGCAGAGGGTGTAACCACTGCTGTTGTTGCCAATGGACTTGAAGAAGGTGTGGTTCCGTGCCCAGTGCTGTGATGTGAACGTACAGTATCGCGACAGCGGCCAGCCGATAGATGGCATAGGTCATCGTTTGTTTTGTATGAAGCATGCTGAGGTGGCTTTGCCTTGTCATTGGCGTACTCTTATGCTGCTGTTTCCTCGTTTTAGGCCTGTTCTTCATCATCCCGTGCATCGACAACTACCAGAAAATCGACTTGCGCACAGTGTCGTTTGATGTGCCGCCGCAGGAGGTGTGTATGCGCATAGGTATATAATGTAATATTTAGTGCTTCCATGTAGTGCTTCGAAGGGGATCAGAAATTCGGAACACCGTGTGCAATTAATAATCTCTGATGCAGATTGTGATTAATCATTTAGAAATATCATAACCGTTGAGCAAAAACGAAAAAAATGGCATATTATTTTCCCTTTGGCAGGATGATGACATGAATGTGGAAGTTTGTGCAGCGTCTTTACTTTGAATTTCTCAGTTTCAGTTATTCAGATGTGTCGTAGTGGATTTTATCCACTCTTCTAACTTATGTAGTCCATCAGGCATAATCTGTGTCCGTCCTAGTTCTTGTCCGTGAGTCGTCAGCCTATGTTCTAAGGGTAACTGTCACTACGAAATGAAACCATTATGCTTTATTGGTGAATTAATATGAACCTCTTCCCATTTTCTGCGGCCAGGTTTGTAATTAAAGCGTCTTTCTTTGAGACACAATTTTCATTAAAACGAGTAGCATGATGAGCTCCTGTTGTTATGGCATTTGCAAACGGCTATTTAGGAGTGATGACAAGCCTTCACGGTTACCGTAGCCCATGGGAATTCGTTTCAACGTACTTCATCTTGTCGTGCGATTCTGTTTCTTTGTTCGTCATCCATTCTTTGCAACGGGCACATTGTAGATGAATCTGGAGAAGATGATGAAAGAACTGCGTTCAGCAACAACGACCGTTTATTGTTTCAGCTACAATGCAAAAGACGTCGCCCTGCAGTAAAATATAAATAATAAGTAAATGTAGAGAAAATTTAATTAGATGACACCGGTGAAAAGATTTGTGCCAATGATGGTGCAAAATGTTCTGAATTAATGTATGCTAGCTTTTCCAGCAGGCTAAATTGAAAGCTGCTGAGCCGAGGAGGTGGTTACTGTGTTTCAGATCACGGGATTTCTATAAA